ACTTATTATCTAAATGGAGAGAAACTTCGGTGTGGTTCAGTGCAGAGGGATCTGGATGTCCTTGTGTATGACTGTCAGAAAACTGGTATACAGGTACAACTAACAACAATGAGGGTGAATGCAATTTTAGCATTTATTGCTAAAGGAATGGAGTATAAAAGTGGGGAAGTCTTGTTGCAACTGTACAGGCATTGGTGAAATTGCATCTGGGTCACTTGAGGAAGGATGTTAATTGCGTTGGAGGCAGTTCAGAGGAGGTTTAATAGATTAATTCCAGAGATGAAAGACTTGTCTTGTGAGGAGAGATTGATGCCTATTTCTGCCTATACACGCTAGAGCTTAGAAGAATGAAAGGAGGTCAAATTGAGGTTTAAAAGATGCCAAAATGAATTGACAAAGTAGACAAAAATGGGATGTTTCCTAATGTGGGGCAATCTAGAACAAGAGGTCACAGTTTTAGGATAAGGGGTAGCAGATTTAAAACAGAGCTGAGGAGGAATTCCTTCTTTCAAAATGTTGTGGATCTGTGGAATTCACTCTCCCCGAGTGCAGTGGATTCCAAGGCATTGAATAAATTTAAGAAGGAGATAGATTTTTAGTTAGTAATGGGGTGACAGATTGTGGAGAGTGGGCAGGAAAGTGGAGTTGAGGCCAAAGCGGGATCAGCCAGGATCGTATTAAATGGTAGAGCATGTTTGAAGGCGGAATGGCCTACACCTGCTTCTAATTCTTATAAAACAGGACGTACTTACAAATGGAAATGATGGTGTGGAGCTGATGGAACACAGCAGTCCAGGCAGCATTGGAGGAGCAGGACAGTTGACGTTTCTGGTCAGGACCCATTTCTGAAGAAGGGTCTCAACCCGAAACGTCAACTTTCCTGCTCCTCTGATGCTGCCTGGCCTGCTGTGTTCCTCCAGCTCCATACTGTGTTATCTCTGACTCCAGCATTGGCAGTTCTTACTGTATCTAATGGAAATGATGGTGTCTGGAACACTGCTTGTAAGTATGTTTCCATGAGCATGACTGAATCATAGAATCATAGAATCCCTACAGTGTGGAAACAGGCCCTTCAGCCCAACAAGTCCACACCGACCCTTGGAGCATCCCACACACCCCTGAACACTACGGGCAATTTAGCATGGCCAATCTACCTAGCCTGCACATCTTTGGACTGTGGGAGGAAACCGGAGCACCCTGAGGAAACCCACGCAGACACAGGGAGAATGTGCAAACTGCACACAGTCAGTCGCCCAAGGGTGGAATCGAACCCGGGTCCCTGGCGCTGTGAGGCAGCAGTGCTAACCACTGAGCCACCGTGCTGCCCTGATAGGTTGTTGCTTGACTAGTCCATGAGACAGTTCTCCCATTTTTGGCCCTAGGTCCTAAATGTTAGTAAGACGGTGTTAAGAAGTTGGGGTAGAGTATTTGTGGATTGGAAGGCAGGATGTTTGTAAAATGATGGGAAGATGTATGGTCCCTTTAAAAAATGATGTGTTTTTTCTAGGTTTGGAAATTTTAAAAAAGTGAGCAGGTGCACAGAGAGCTCCTCAAATTGAAACATTGTATCAAATGGCTGCATGGTTAGCAACCCAGGCAGTAGTTTGTTTCGGTATTAAGGCAACCAGTTTGAAAATCAGCCAATTAATTTAAACCAGGCAATTAGAGAATAAAAAAAAAACAAATTAAATTTAAATTTGTTCGTTAAAACCATCTAGGACCAATCTTGTTATAAGAAATTAATAGGTCATCAAGGGTATAAAGGAAGAGGGCATTTGAAAATCAGTGTGAGAGCAACTGCCATCTAATAAACAACCCATCAACTCAAAAGAGAAAATCACTGACTGTCACAGAATTCAGACTACCCATCACCTAAATAAAGATAGAACAGCACTCTTAGCGAATATTCCTAAGGAAAGAATTCAACCAAGAAAGGCGTTCTGGTCTGAGGATCAGTGGAGAGGGCATGGAGCGTTCTGGAAGATCTATCCTGGCTGTAATTTTGAGAGATTAAGTTTTTTTTTATTAATTTGGTTTATATAAGTGGGACTTATATCATTTGGAACAGCATACTATTAGAATTTTATTTTATTTGGGAATAGTTAGTAGTTGAGGGCAAATTGTTCGGTTTGCCAGTAGTTCTGTTAATTTGGTCACTGTTAGAGTTAGGTAAATAAATTGTTACTTGTTGATTATAGAGTGATTGTCAGGAGTTCATTTCATTTAACCTCCCCTTTATAACAGATTGGGAGTTGAGAGGCAGGTTATATCACTTTTCATACTTCCTTTAACAGATTATGGGGCGAGGCGAGCTTCTCTTGGTGTTTCGATTTTAGTTATCGATGAGGGGGCGGTTGCCCTCCATGTTATAACAGAGGACTTTGTAGGGTCAACAGGGCTGTGTTTGGTATTGTCATTTCTGGCTGTCTTATTCAATGCCAGATGGGCATCTGGTTTCATTTCTTCTTTGAGACTTTCAATCGATTGATCCAACCAAGTGACTTGCTAGATCAGGGAAGAGGTAGGTAAGAGCCAACCCATTGCTGTGAGTCTACAGTCACATGTAGGCCAGACCAGTTAAAGACAGCAGATTTCCCTCCCTAAAGGATATTAGTGAGGAGATTAGTTTTAACCACAGTTGACAATGGTTTCATGGTTACCATTAGACTTTTAATTCCAGAGGAAGGTGAAATTCCAGTAACTCCTTTGTCTAATGTCTCAGTGTATTACTCAGTGCCTTTCGTGAGTTATAAAATACCAGGAAGCTCCCAGGTACAGAACCAGACCTGTGTGCAATTGGCTGTACTCCGGTTATGTAGCAGCGAGGAAGTTACATTTTGCTTAGGCCTCTGACCGTATGGTGCGTAAAACCAGTAAGAAATGGGAAAAGATCAACAACAAAAACAAAGTTGCTGGAGAAGCTCAGCAGGTCTGGCAGCACCTGTGAAGGAAAAAACAGAGTTAATGTTTCGGGTCTGGTGACCCTTCCTCAGAACTGGTGGTGGCTGGGAGAACATCAGTTTATAACTGAAAAGATCAAACTGGCTTCCTCATCCTAATCACAGACCCAGTCCAGTTATTCCTGCTGGAATATATGTGGAGGTAAATGCCTTTGAGAACAGCATGAGGATAGTGTTGCAGCATTCCTTTACAGTCAAGAATCTTGTAAAATTTAGTTCATAGAATTACATAGAATATACATCATATAAACAGGCCATTTGCCCCATCCTGTCCATGTTGGTATTTATGCACTGCTGGAGCTTCCTTCATCTTCTAACTCTATTGTCATAATCCTCTGTAGCTTCCCCCGTCACGAGTTTATCTAGCCTTCCGTATGATCGAACAATTTATGTGGCAACGAGTTCCATATTCTCGCCACTCTCTGGGTAAAGATATTTGTTTTAAATCTCTCCATTTGATTTCTTGATGGCAGCCTTCTGCTAAAGGCCTTGGATTTTGCTGTTTCCAGTAAATTTGTTTACTCTACGAAAACCTTTCATAATTTTAAACACCTTTCTTAGGTCATCCTAAAGCTTTTGCTTTTCAAGAAAAAACAACTTCACCTGTTGATATTTCCTGATAGATGTAGCCTCACATTTGTGGTATCAATTCCGTAAATCCATTTTGTACCTTATCCAGTACCCGGTGATCACTTTTTGTAATTTGGCAACCAGAATTGTACACAAATGCCCAGGATTGATCTAATCAACAACAAAAACAGAAATTGCTGGAAAAGCTCAGCAGGTCTGGCAGCATTTGTGGAGAGAAATCAGAGTTAACATTTTGAGTTGAATGACACTTCCTTAGACTTCTTGTGGCAGCACTGGTTAGCACTGCTGCCTCACAGTGCCGCCTCACAGTGCCTTGGTTCAATTCCAGCCTCAGGTGACTATCTGTGTGGAGTTTGCACGTTCTCCCTGTGTCTGTGTGGGTTTCTCCTGGGTGCTCTGGATTCCTCCCACAGTCCAAAGGTGTGCAGTTGGATTGGCCATGCTAACTTGCCCATACAGTCCAGGGATATGCAGGCTAGGTTGATAAGCCGTGGGGAAGTGCAGGGTTTTGGGGATAGGGTAGGGGGTGTGGGTCTGGATGGGATGCTGTTTGAAAGGTCGGTGTGGACTCTGGGCCAAATGTACTGCTTCCATGCTGGAGGGATTCTATTGGTCGGCATGGACCAGTTTGGGCCGAAGGGCCTGTCTCTGTGCTGTAAGACTATGACTCTAGTGATCTAACCAAGTTTAGGATTACTGCTAAATGGATCTTAGCGAGCAGGTGAATCAGCAACCAAAGCATGGAGCTTTTCCTCAACTACAATTTTACTTTCTTGTATGCAGTCTTACGGACCTAGTACAGTGCCCCACCTGTCCTCTTTCCATACTGTTTTGAAACTCATGGATACAACTTAATTAATTGGGTGACAGCCCCTTAGAAGGACATAATTATTTCACCAGGCATTTGAGTGAACTCCGAAATGGTGAGCAGACTTAACAACATTTGAAGGTGCACCAGGAGACCCTAGTGGATTTCTAATCCATCGCCTTAACAAAGGCCCAGTTTCCCAATGTTGCAGGAGAGGTTTGAACCCTCCCCTGTGAAGTGAGGATCAGGACACTGCAGTGGCTCAATCTCAGTCTGTCCTGTTACTGGGTAGGTGTTTTAGCGAACTAAACTGCAGTGCCTACACCCCAAACTTCAGGCAGCAGTGGGATTAATTGATTAACACTTGTCAACTGGTTACCCTTCACCTTAACTGTGTAATTGGAATTAACAATAGCTTCTATCCTTTTAAATTCTGTCCCTGTAGAAATAGTGTGGCGTGCTTGCTTTGCTTTTTTATGGCCTTGTTAGCCTGAGGCAAGTGTATGCCAATTAAGCACAGGAAGAATAGATGAAGAGAGGTTGTGAGACCATGTCCCCTAACCACCAGCTCAACAAAGCAACTGCATTTCACCCGATTAGGTTAACTGTCTGCTGAGGCTATTTGCTTTCTCCCCCTTCAGGTTTCAGATGATTATAACGTCATCGGCCGCTCCCTCTTCAAGAAGGAAACGAATATGCAGCTGTTTGTTGGGATGAAGGTTAAATTGTCCACAGGAGAAGCTGGAGTGATTGAAGGAGGCTTTGGGCAGAGTGGGAAATTTAAAATCAGAATCCCAGGTAGGTGTCTACTTTACTAAGGAGTTGTTTGGACATTTCATAGACTGATATATCACAAAAGGAAGCCATTCAGCCCCTTGTTTCTGTGTTGGCTCCTTGAAAGAGCAGCCCAATTAAATTCATTTTCCCTGTTTATTTCCCATAGCTGTACTGCCCTTAATTTAGAATAAATGACAATGTAATATTATTTGTTGTGTACCTAATAATGTGCGTGAGCCCTGGTTTATGTGACAGCAGCAACATCTTTTCTACATGATCTCGCCTCTAGGATAAGGATGCCCAAGCGATAAGCCTAAAGCATCCTAACCTGTGACGGTTTTTTTTTGTATCCCATGTTCTGTCCGTGCCTTTCACTTGTCAGTGCTCACAAAGCCAAGATCCTTAACTCACTGGTGTAGCTCACTTACTCACACATTGCACCTTTAAAATAGGCTTGTGTGGAGGTCATGTAAATACAGCACAAAAACGCATGGCAGAATCTCTCACAATTCATACACATGTGTGCACCATTGCTTCAGAACCATTAGCTGTCATATATTTATATTATCTTTCCAGGAATATCATTTTTTAAAAAAGTTTTCTGCCTCGTACGGTGTATGTGGGATAGCTGGCATCATCTGTTGCTTGCAGAAACTGTATCCAGCAGGCTACAGTCATGCTAAGCAAGGCTTGACAGCCACTGAGCACAAAGTGCCAATCTGGCAAGCTCACTCCTGACTTCTGTGATGTAGGGTGTGCGATATATATATGCCATTTTTTTTGTGAGTGTAAGTATTTGAATTTTGAATGGGTGACTTATAGATTTTTCTGTGGGTCTGAACAGTTTGATGATTTGCTAGTGCACAATGCGATCTTTCAGCCCATCTTATCTATCCTGACTCTCTGAATAAGCAGTTCAGTCACTGCCATTTTCCTGCCTTCTCCCTGGAACCATGCACAATCTTTCTTTTCAGATAACAGTGCAATTTCCTTTGGAACGTTTCAATTGAACCTGCCTCCACCGCATCTCAGGCAGTGTATTGCAGACCTTAACGAATTGCTGTGTGAGTTCCCTCCCATGTCACTTTTTCTTTTACCAGTTATTTAAAATCTGTGCCCTTTTATTCTTGATCACTTCACGAGTCCTTTCTCCTTATCTACACTGTCCAAACCCCAGGGATTGATTTTATGCACATAATTTAGATTATGTAACATCCTCCACTGACTGCATTTTACTGGAAAACTAATCCAGTTTCTATCAGGAGACTGTGCTGTGGTTCCAGTCATGAGTTCTATTTGCTGTAGTTCATAGAATCTCTTTCAGTAGATTGTGTTTGCTGTGTGTTTTCAAAAATGACAAATACCTGAGTTATAACTAGTCAGTTGTTAGTCTATCAATTAGCACATACTTAAGTATCCACTTACAGCTGGTGAAGAATCATAAGGAATTGGAAAAGAAATAGCCCGATATGGCCCCTCATGTATATTCCTCCATTCTATAAGATGATGCCTATCTAATTGTGGCCTTAGCACCACTTTCTTGCCTGTCCCCATAACCTGTGCCTTCTTTGTTAACCAAACCTCTGTTTTAACCCAGCCTTGAGAATATTCAAAGACGCAGTCTCCACTGCTCTCTGGAGGAGAGAATTCTGAAGACTGATGACCCTCTGACAGAAGAAATTCCTGCTTGTTTACATCTTGAATGGGAGACACTAATTTTTAAATTGAACCAGCCTTCTGTCTGTCACTGCATCTCTCTCTCACTCTTTCACTGTCTGCGCCCCATCTCGGTCTACTTGTGCAGGCATCTGCCTCAAGTGCTATATCTGCTATTGAGATATTGCTTCAGTGTTGAGAGCCTGCATACAGTTCTTAATTTTGATTAATTAATTTAACTAATGCCAAAATTAATCTCTGGCTACTGTTTCCAACACAATGTTAACCAAAAGGTTTGTGCTCTGTGTCCACCCAGGGATGAATGTAAGTGCTGTTTGCCTTTCTAAGCATTCCTGGTGGTTAGGATTTGGTGTTTGCAATACTATGGACTGGGTTTGATTCTTTGCAAGGGACTGGAAATTTATTCAAGGGATCTTGTTGGGCAATGATAGATTCCCTACCTCTGGGCTAGCATATCTGGGTTAAAGACTCACCATCCTGGAAATGTATTATAATGTGCACAACACAGTGAGCAATAGGGGCCCGCAATGAATTTTACCAGTCATCTCAAACTGGACCCAAACTGGAAATCACCAATTGTGATGTAAAAAAACAAAGATGCACAGAAATAATACAAAATGGCATGTGAAACAAAGTAAAAATGTTGTTTTCAACATCTATGATATACTGCAGTGTGCAATGGTCACAGAAATGTTACATAGATGAACATCATGTTGCCAGTTGGGGATGCCTGACTGTAAAACAGCTGTGGGAGACTGGTGGGTAACTGATAGGAGCCATTGACCATTCCCTGTCTGGCTAGCCAACTTAGCCCAAAACAAACCCACAAAGAATTGGACGACTCTTTGTAGTAAGTCACAGCACACCATGAACTTTGTGTTTCCTACATCCCGAAATGTTTTCCTTCAACTACTTCTTGCTATTCCCCTTAACTATATCAGCGGCCTCCTTAAAATCTGGCCTTTTGACCATGACTTTGACCAACCCTCTGAAATCCTCTCCTTCTCAATGCACGTCTGATTTGTCGTTCTCTTAAATATTGTACACAAGAATCCGTCTCTCTCTTAAGTCCTTTACAGCATGACTCGTCCCTCTCTGAAATCTCCTGTGGCCCAAGCTGTCTTCCCTCTAAGGCACTGCTTGGTGCAACATTAGGTCAGCCAGCCCTCAAGGTCACAATTTTAATTTCTAACTAAATTAATTATGGTGCTAAGACAACTGCAGTTGCCTCCCGACTGGGAGCAGCTAATGTACAATAGCCTAAGTATTAGACCTGGGATTCGGAGAGTTACTAGGCTTCATATTGAAGCCAGCAGTTCTTTTACACATGGGCCATCGGGCAACAAATAGCTGTTATTTTAATAATAATCTAGCTTGGCTGAGCTTGTGTTAACTTTATCATTGCATCCTCAACATTATAAATATTTGCTTTTCTGTGAGATTCCTTCTGCTGATATAGACTTCTGTTTAGTAATTGCATTCCCCAATGTGTAAAGTTTGCTAATATCTAATCTAGCGTTCAAAATTAATTCAAATGAGTTTGTTTTTACAAGTAAAAGGGACCAGGGAGTCTTGTAAAGCTTTTGGCAAGTTGATGAATTAATTAGTTCAAATGCCAGAACATTATACAGATGTATGTGAAGGGAAAATAGATCAGCCTAGTACTGGGACAGAAATTGAAGAATCTGCTGATAGGATGAAATGAGGGGGATTGGGCGGAGAATAATGTGGAGCAGAAACAGCAGCATGGACTATTGGGCCAAATGGCCTGTACATACGTGAAAGAACCTTGTACAAAATCTGTCCCTCTCGGTTTCATACGCTGCTTCTCCCCTTACCCGCCAGCTTTAACAGTTTTGTTTTTGGGAAATGAGAGTTTCAGACATTTCTACTATTCTTTGTGTGAAGTTCTTCCCTGTGTCATCTCTGAACAGCCTAACTTCAATTTATTAACTTTAAGGCACTGCCCATTTATCTGTACTAGCATCCCACCACCATCAGATAAAATATTTACTCCCCAACCACCTCATCATTTTCTTTAATCATCTGATAAAATGCCACATCAGAGGTTATTGTGGAAAATAGAAGCTCATGGCATAGGGTAATATCATGGCACAGATAGAAACAGGCTGGCTAACAGGAAACAGAGTAGACAGAAAAGAGCTTTTTTTTACGTTTCCACCATGTAACGAGTGGTGTGCCACGGAGGTCAGTGCTGGGACCTCAACTGTTTACAATTTATATCAATGACTTGGATGAAGTGATGGAATGTTTGTTAAGTTGCTGATGACACAAGATAGTTAGAAAAGTAAGTTGTGAACTGTGTTCCCCCTTATTTTATTTCCTGCGGCACTGAGGTTCATGCATGGCTGTGGCTTCTAGAACCGGGAATGAATGTGTTAGCCCACCGGTCAGCCAGCAGAGGACCTCCAAGCAGGCATGCAGCTTAGAAAGAACAGTGGCTGTGAAGGGGATTTAAGGAGGCTACAAAAAAGTGTAGAGAGAAAAAAACTGCAGATGCTGGAATCCAAGGTAGACAAACAGGAGGCTGGAAGAACACAGCAAGTCAGGCAGCATCTGGAGGAAAGGAGCAGTCAGCGTTTCAGGTATTACCCTTCTATAGGACTGGATATGGGGGTAGGGGGAGCTGCAGATAAAGAGATGGTGGGGGAGGGGTGACAGTGGAATAGTGGTGACAGGTGGACTCTGGAAGTAGGTACAACTTGTACCTACGAGGTAAATATCCCTCCCATCAACCGACCAGGTTGTACCTAATACCAGTGTCCATCTGTCACCACTATTCTGCCTCCACCCCTTCCCCGCCTCTTTATCTGCAGCTCCCCCTACCCCCCACATCCAGTCCAGAAGAGGGATAATACCCGAAACGTTAACTGCTCCTTTCCTCCAGATGCTGCCTGGCCTGTGTTCTTCCAGCATCCTGTTGTCTACAAAAACGTGTAGATAGGTTAAGTGAGTGGCCAAGATCTGCCAACTGGAGAACAATGTGGGAAAGTAATCAAGTGGTCAGTTTGGCAGGAAGACTGAAAAAGTATATTGTTTAAATGGTGAGAAATTATAGAAATCTGTGTGTTCTCGTGCATAAAGTAAAGTCATAGAAGTTTACAGCATGGAAACTGGCCCTTCAGCCCTACCTTTTCCATGCGGCCCAGATTTCAGAATTAATCTAGTCCCATTTGCCTATGTTTGGTCCCTATCCCTCCATACCTATTCTGTCCATGTACATGTCCAAGTGTTTCTTAAATGACAAAATTGTACTCTCCTCCATCAGTACCTCTGGCCGCCCGTTCCAGACTTTCACCACCCTTTGTGTGAAAAAATTGCCC